TACGATGCAAGCAGAGCGGGGAGCAGGGAGAGAACAGGACGCCGGGAAGGGGAAGGAAAGAAAAGACGATGGAATGGCGGGAACCCCTGCAAATGCGAACGGGGAAGGGGAAACGGGGACCACAAAAATGAGGGGATGAGGAAGCGGGAACGAGGAACGAGGAGGCGGAGCGGCAAAGGGGAGAGGCAGTGCAGGTGGATGGATGGATGGTGGATGGCACAAGGCAACGAAGGATGCGCGTGAAGGGATGGTGCGTGGATAAGATCGTGGGCATGTTAGAAGAAGGGGAGGGACGCGCGGCGGGGGAGGTACAAAGAGGGATGAATGGAACGGGAGGGGGCAGCGAGCGGGAAGGCGACGGCGGACGAAGGAAAGCCCGCGTAAATCACGCAGACGAGACCGGCGCGCGTGTAGGGGCGATGGGGATGGAGATGCAAGTAGCGTGGGAAGAAAGGGGACGCCGGGAGAGGAAGGAGGAGCAGAGTATGGAGGTGCGCATGGAGTCCGCGGAAGGAAGGGAGGGGCGGAGCTGCATAGGTGGGGGGAGGGGTGGATGGATGGATGAACGGAGGAGCGGGATAGAAGATATGGCAGTAACGCCAATTAAGAGGGTGGTGGTGGTGATAAGAGTAAAGAGCAACGGGGGTAAGGGGATGCAAGGTGAAAGGAACGGAAGGACGGGAGGGTACAGGCGGCACGATGGATTAGACGGGGAGGAATGAGGGAGATGTACAGTGGGAGGAGGAGGAAAGGCGCGCAGGGAGGGTGAACAGATACGAGGCGGGGAGGGATGGATGGGAACGGAAGGGACGCCGGGGGAAGGGCGAGGGATATGGACGCTGGAGGGAAAGAAAGGGATGGAGGAGCGAGGGCTGTCCAGATGGATAGAGGCATGGCAGCGCGCCGACGCGACGCAAGTTACGAGGATGAAGGGGATGAAAAGGGGATGAAAGAAGGGGAGGAGCGGTAGACAGATGGGCGGGAAGTAAAGATGTGCGTGGACAGAATGGCAACGGGAGAAGGGAGAAAGGATGAAGGGGGAAAACACGAAGGAATGAGACGTAGAGTGGCGAGGGCAAGGAAGACGAAGGACAAAGCAAGACAAATGAGGCGAAACGGCACCCACCATAATCCCATCCCACTCCCTCTGCTTCTCGCCCCCACCTCCTGCACCAAGCACCGACGGGACAACCCACGCATCCCACAGCCTTGGCTTCTTCTTCAAGTCGACGCGCACCCGGGGCGCGGGGGGCACCCAGGTGCCGTTCGCGATGGCCTCGGCGATGAGGCGGCGGTGGCGGCGGCGGAGGAGGAGGGAGCGGACGACGATGGCGGAGGAGACGCCGAGGAGGAGGATGAGGGTTGCGAGGAAGGTGTAGACTGTAAAGTATTTGCATATGCACAGTAAAGGAGCCCGTGGAGGCGAAAGGCGGGGCGGCGTGTGGCGTGCGACAGATACGGTGGTGACGGAGAACAGGTATAAAAAGCAGCGCAGATACCCAAAATAAAAAGATAGAAGCACGACAAAGAATCAGATGCCGGGAGCCCAACAGCGACAGCGACGAGAACACGCACGGTACAGCTGCGCAGAGGACTGGATGCCCGGCTGGCCCCCTCCCCCCGTGTCCCCACTGTTCTGCCCGCCCCCGCCGCCAACGGGCGAGTGCGTGGGGAAACCTGGGTCGGACTGGGAGAAGGTCTGCGAGAAGAAGGTCGAGGTGGCGTTGGCGGTGCCGGATACAGAGGAGGCGGCAGAGGGGGCAGAGGCAGAGCCGGACGCAGAAGATCGTGCGCTGCTGGAGCGCGAGGTCGCAGACATGGTCGACGGTGGTGTTAGTCAAGATACGACTCAGAAGCTATCGTATAGATGCCGAGGTCGCCAAGGGCCCAGGGGGGGCAAGTTCCTGATCGAGCGTTCCTGGCACTGTCTGCAGTGAGCAAAGCGTCGTCGTCGTGGGCAGCGAGCAGCAAGCGTGCGACGGCGAGGAGGAGAAACAATTGGAGAAAGAGATGAGAGGAAGGTGTGTCATCCAGATGTCATCGGCCCATTCGGCAATCATATTCCCGAATTGGGCTTTTGGGTTCAATGTTCTCCACCCGGCGCTGCGAATTCTCGGGGTTTCTCGGGAGGACTCGGTGTAGGTTTTGTGTATCGTCGGCGTTGAATTGGAACTGCAAGCCAGGGTTGAAATTCACCGAGGATTAATTTTAGGCCTAACTGTGGCGGCTGTCGCACTCAAGAGTCAACGCACTGCAAGTTGCGACAGAACAATAAGCCGGAAAGCCGTGTGAGTTCTGCTGCGCAATCATCGTGGCTATTCCGGGTTACCCAGCGCTATTCGTATTCGTGAGTCAGCACGCTCACCGAGAAGGCCGCCGGCCGAAGGGACAAGATTCGAACCAATTCCGCGTAAAATCCTGTATTCAACGGTTCGAAATTCCTCTACATCGGATTACCATCAAGCACCAAATGAGCAGATAAGAAGCAGTATAAGCACGCGGGATCATTAATCTTGTGTATCTGCCACCAGGGAGAGTATCCCCGGAGTCCTTGTTCGACTCACGGTGCGCAGGATTCGTGTTCTTGTCATTGAGCTCTATGCATCTCCGGCAACTCAATAAAGGCAGTACAGCGTATCGAAGCACACGGGATTTATCTTGCGCAAGGAGATACGGCTTATTCCCGAAGTCCCTGTTCGAATCAAGGTAGTACATACCGCCCTGGTTCGTTTGATTCAGAACTTGTACTCGCATTTTTTTCCTCGGGCTTCATGTCCCTCTGTCCCTGTCTCCTGCTAATAGCTATACTATTCCCCAGTCATTCAAAAGTTTTATCCCGGATTCTAGAACTTGAGATCGAACCCAAGGCAATACGGTGTACACTGTAGCCCCACACAAGATAGCTCTCCTCCTGGCTTTGCATCCCGGATTCCCTCGAAATGCTTGCACTCCCGCTAAGTTTGCTAAAGGCAGTATAGTGTATGCCAATGGCAGCACGGGACCATCTTCAATGCATAAGGTTTTCTGTAGTATGTACATAGCTGTTTACCCCCGAAGCCTGAGTCCTTGTTCGACCCAAGGACCAAGGTACCGCCCAATTCTTTCCGGTGTATACAGTTTTTTGGTCCTCGAATTGTATATCCCTCTGTCCTCGTCGGCTACGCTGGGTGTTCCCTCCATGAATATATGGGCCGGAACATAGATAAAGTTCAATCCCATCTACGTAAGTGACTGCGTAACAGCTCTCAAAATCCCTACACCTCATGATAAAGGCAGTGTGGTGTATTGCAGCACGCGGGTCCATCTTGCATAAGGTTTTCTGTACATAGCTGTGTATCCCCGAAGTACTAGTCCTTGTTCGACCCAAGGTACTGCTCTTCTTGATTTTTGTTCAACCCCCGCCTTCACGCATTTTCAGAACACGCAACACACGCCCAGGGTGTAACGTGTACACACGTGCAGTACGGTGCAGGGTCCTTGGCGGCACTCAGATTGGCCGGAACCAGATTCGTCCTGGAAGGCCATTCCAAATTTGTTTCACACTTTTTCCTTGTCCGCCTCAGATAGCACAGCACTCGACCAAGAAGCCATATATCAAAGAGCCAGCGTCCTCACAAAGTCATTTATACGCAAACTCTTTGTTTGAACTTTGAACTAAGGTACTCTCGGGATTTCGGGAGGGGGAGTTGACTTTTGTGCATAAAGTTGTGGTACTCCACGGTGAGCCCAGAAGACCGGGAGACCGGGAGACGACTCTTTGACGGTTATTTCTAGTCCCCACTGTGGCGGCTGGTGTACTGCAGCAAATCGGCAGCCTGTGTAACTCCCTGCTGTGCAATCAGTGATTCATACGCACTATTCCGAGTCACCCAGCTCTAATATTATCATCCGCACACCCGCGCAGACGCCGGCCGATGGGACCAGATCGAACCAAAGCGCAGCAAAGTCCCCCGCTTTGTGTGTTCGAGATTCCCGCAATCCACCATGGCCAAGCATCGCAAGCATATAAAAAGCAGTGTGGTGCATCGAAGCACGCGGGATTGGTCTTGTGCTACGTTTACTGTTGAAGTTGATTCCCGAGGACCTTGTTCGATTCAAGGCGCTGCTCTGCAAAGGGTCTGTTCCTTTTTGCCATTGAGTTCTATGCATCTCCGGCAACTCTATGCTCCCAGGCAATTTGCGGTTTGGAACCTAAATAAAACTGAAGGTACATAGTATAGTATATTTACACGGGAGACATACTATGACGTTCGGAATGTTGCAAAAATCAATTAGAGAAAGAATTGTGTCCCGGGAAAGTTTTTTTGTCTCGGGTGACGCAATCCTACGATGCTGAATTGCAGTAAGGTACACTCTCCCATCATAACGGCCCCTGAGAGAGAAAGCCCTCCAGGATGGCGTTACTGAGAACATCAAAGGTATTTGATGGTGGTCGGAATGTTCCGGGACCCACCAAAATGAGTTGAACCACGGGTCTGTGCAGTGTTGCTGGTTAGTTTAGTTGAAACATGAGCTGTTCTGAAGCCACTGGTATCACTGTTCATGACTTGACTTATATCATTCCCTAGACTATTTTTTTTTCGGGTTGTGACAGTTAAAACCTTCTGGAGTTCCTTCAAGGAACCATGGTTCAAACGCTGCTATAGGCACCGGCGGGTACCCTTCCCACACCTGGCTCAACTACACCTACTTGAGCTTGACTGGAGCCGTTTTTTTTTTGTGCACCGGGAATTTCCGATGACCATCAATTCCGACTGATGTTGTCGACTGCCCAACCATTTATGCTATCCTGTGCCTAGTACTTCAAAAGAAGGTGGGATACAGTGTATAGATCCATCCCAATAGGATTCCAAGACTTGAGCCAAGAAAAACTTTCCTAAACCACGACTTTACTTGAATTGAGTTTTGCAACATTCTGAACGTCGTAGGAGACTCCCGTTCATGGGAGTTGCATTCGTCGAAATCCTTACACTCTCACAGGTTAAGAAAAGCAGGATATAGGCAGTATGGTGTATGGACGCACGCGGGATTATTGTATGCGCTAAGCGCTTGCATCCGGGTTTGGTCCCCGAAGTCCTTGTTCGATTCAAGGTACTGCTTATAAGCCTTGCACATCTTTTTTTTCCAGCTCCCCAAAATTTATACCATCCACATGAGTTGTTACAACAGAGCCGGGGAAAGCAGTATGATGTGAGGCCGCACACCGGGATCTTCTAGGTCGTTGACGAATTGACCCGGAGGTCCTTGTTCAACATACTCCACAGAATCGATGCACCCACCCGGTTCAATATAGCCAATGCATAACGTTCGAGAGGCAGTATAGTGTAACACCTGGACTTGAAGCGAATCAGGACTCGGAGTCCGAGGAGGGGAAATAAAAATGTGCCAGTGCTTGGATTGGTGGACAGCTGAATCGGAAGAAAGAGATTGGGAAAAAAGGTAGCGAAGAGTCAAGGAGTCTCAGAGTTTGAAAAGTTTGAAACACGTATCTTTTTCTTTTTCGGCCATAGGCCAACCGTTCAACTCGGAGGTTCCCGCCATCAACCGGCGGTTGCCGATCATGATCATGTCGATCGCGGCGCGCACCGCCGCTTGAACAAAGACCACGACGATGCCTGAAATACCCCAAAAACTCGTCGACGCCATCCTTGAAAAGGTCCCAATATTGAGCCTAGGAGCATGCGCAATGACCGCGACAGCATTTGTGGCGACCAGCCAGCGCCGCATGTTCCGCTGGATGAGGCTGGGTGTCGGACTCGCTCGCAGACGTTCCGTCACAATTCCGTCAATGGTCATATGAGCGCGCGGCGCGTCTCCTCTCCTCATCCCCTCATCTGGGGCCGCATTTTATGTGGCCAGCCCTCGATATTCAACGCATTCCCAAGGGCTATCCAGTTCTCAAGTCCATCCTGGCGAGGTTATCGAGCATCGGGATCTTTCGATTGTCGGCGCCGCGGCGGGTCCCTTCGAGAGTAATCAGATTGCGCAGAATCCCTGCTTAATCGAATTTCTTTCACTGCCGTCGCTGCGTTGTTTTGCTCTGCAAAATCTCAAGGATGTCCCAGCGTCGCTTGTAGCGCGAGCCTTGGCTGCTTTCGAACAAGTGTTGCTATTCAGGATATCCATCCTCGAGGACGAAGCCGCGGGAGAAAACACTTCTCTCGGCGACCTCTGGTACCTCGGGGTCATTGACGGCGGATACGATACCATTCTTCCCTTCCTCCTTCAACCAACGTATGGAATTCATGCGCGACTTGGGGAGGCTCGCCGTTACAATCCCGCCTATCCCCGAGGCCCTCCAACCCAGATTCAAGGAGCTCCTGGTGTCCTGCGCGAGCACGCTGGAGAATCTAACACTGGAATTAGCTGCGTTCTCCCGTTCGTCCTAAAATGCCTATCTGACACCCTCCCAGAACAGCCCCCAACCTACCTTCCTGCCCTCACGGAGATGATATTTCTCGAACTCTGGATCGACGTCGAGCTCACCAAAACCGCAGACGTCTTCCACTCGATCATCTCCGCCACCCTCGCCTCCACCCCGCACCTCGAGCTCCTCACCCTCGCCATCCTCGACCGCCCAGCAAATTTTCACCGCCGGCATCGTCAGCAGTGGACCGCGCGCGCGCCGGCGGAGTGGGCTAATTTGGACGCCATGCTGATGGACAGAGAGGATCTGTGCGAGGTCGAGTTCTCCTTGCGCCATTTCCCGAACGAGCCCGAGCGATATGCGGCCTTCGTGCCGTTCATCCATGCGCATCTGCCCCGTTTGTTTGAGGCAGAGCTGCTCACGTTCAATTGCCGTGACTTGAAGAGGCATCCCATGGACGAGTTTGCCGTGGATTGGTGAGGGGATGTTCTTGCCTGTAATTTATTACGGTCTTGCCGACGTTCGTAGTTCAAATTGATCCCGGTTGGCTCGTTCCCCGCTTCAAGCAAATGGCTGATTTTTTTTCTTTTTGAACCCTTATCAGGAAAGCCCACACACACCGTGCAATCCGGCACAAACTCGAGCTTGGATTAAGCTTCTACCTCCAACCTTGCCCGGACATCGAAGATGCGAGCGACTGCGGTCGAATTCCGAGGGAGCAATCGGCCATGGGACACGCAAAATTTGCCACCGCAGTTTCCCCCTGGACCCCGATTTCAATATTATTCCCTGGCATATAACCATCCTCAGCTTGGGGCGCAAGAACATGTGATCGTTCTACCTCTGATTCTGTTCTGATGCAACTCACACAGCCTTCAACAGCTTTCTATATAAACCAGCAGATGCGCATTTCATCTTTCCCACTGCCCATTGAGCTAGAAAAGCCATGCCCGTTACCTTCACCGTCGCCTCCCATCCCGCAAAACCATTCCCGGGAATAGCCGCCGCCCGTGGGCTTACCCCGACGCAGCTTCTTGCCGAAGCCTGTCCACCCCAGTATGAGAACTTCGGCGGTGTGATTCGAGGGACCTCCTTCACGAACGAACGCGAGGGAAATATGTGAGAGCTTTCATTGATTATGCTGCCTAATGAATTGGGTGACATTTTGGGCAGCAAAGCACGGAAGGAAAGGATGCCCAGACTCCGGCGTCTCAGCAGGCTGTTCAGTCGGAAGAAAGGTGATACGGCTTCTCACAGCGACATAGTTATATCCAAAGCCACCCCTGCAACCCCCACCCTTGGCGATGTGGATATTCCGACGGCGCAAGGGTTCGGGAACACGGTGATTCTGGATGGCCGACCTGCTGTTGAAGTTGTGGACATCGTCCCTCCGCTGCCGCCCCCTTCGCCGCCGCCTGATACACAATCTACCGCCCCGACAACGATCAGCGATACAGATGTGGCTGAAGATGCAACCTTGATCAAGCACGTCTTCCCGCGGCCAAACGGCTTCGTCGACACAATCATCTCCGCCTACAACCAACATCACGCCCTTGTGTTGCGCCCAGACGACATCTGGATTGCCATACTCACGCAATTCAACTTTTTCGTCAACGCCAACGCCGAGCTCCTTCGCGCTAATTTCGTTGCGCACGAAGGCAAGAAAGAGCTCAAAGTGACGACGGCCGCATTCGACGACTTTGGGCGCCTCGCGAGAGAGATGGTCGGCCTCATCGAGAAGAACATTGTTGATCCCTCGTTGCGCGCGTGGGCGCTACCCGATTTTTCAACCACCACAGTGAACGACACGACCGTCAGTTCGATTCTGCTTATGGCGACGCTGAAGGCATATTTTGAGTACGTGTACTGCGACGTATGCTGCGGCATACCGCGCGTGACGCTCGAGGGAGAAAAACGCGACTGGGAGAAGATTCTCCTGCGGCTGGAGAAACTGAAAGAGTATGGGCTGGAGACGATCGCGTGGTATCATCTCCTGGAACCCGTCATCTCGCGATTCGTCAGAGCCTTCGACGACCCGAATGGCAAGAGCAATGTCGATTTCTGGCAGAATGTCGCCCATTTCGAGCCGGGAGGAAGTGGGCCGAGCTATTACTCGGGTTGGATCACTGCGTTCTGCGTGTTCAGTGACAGGGGGAAGTGGATGGGCCCTAGGTTGAACTCAGTCAGTGGTCTTGTATCTCTTGTCATTGTTTTTAACATTGCGACTCAGGGCGTCGTCGGATCTGCCGTGGCCCCAGAATCATTGACGGCCCGCCAGTTCTGGTCAGCTTACGGTGGGTACGCGCCGGGTGGGCTGACTCTCGATGGGACGCGCTTCCACAAGATCGATTGTGACAATATCCCGCCTAGCTATGCGGAGGTGGATGTGCGCCTTGTCTCCCACAATGGAGAAAGCACGCAGTGTTCGATGACGGCAGGCGCTGTCGGTATACGAGTCTGCTCTAGCGAGGACCCTGGCCTGTCGCCATCTGGAAAAGACGACACCCTTCGTCCAGCTATTGGATGGTGGCTCTTTAACAAGAAATAGAACTTGTATGCGCTTGTATTTGTAGTCTCGTTTTGCCAACAGAGGGAGCACCTTTGGGACTGACCGAGCGCAACGTGAATGCCGACCTCAACTGCAGAAGAAAGCACGTAACCATGCCGGAGACATCGGATCCGGGAATCACCGAAGTTGAACTTTTGGTTCGGTTTAATTGGGACTCAGATAGCATGCGCGCGCCCTGACGAGGCTCTGGAGAGCATCGGCCTTTGTTCAATCGCTTACACCGCTCACCCGCGGTAGTGTGCCGATTTGGTCTGCGGGTTCAGCCTTAGTATTGGTCCTTGAAAAAGCCTTCAAAAAGGAGCTTGCTGTTCAATTTATGGCCGAGTGCTTTTGTCAATCAGACGTTGGCGTCGGGAGACATGGACTCGGAGTGGAACAGGGATGGGGAGAATATGTGTCTTCGTTCTGAATATCGATAGTGGAGTTTATGGAGCCACTGTGAAGCGAAGCACTGCGCGTTATGGAACACCGTTACCTTATCAAAGCGGGTCTGAGTTAGTGCTGTCAAGCACCGAGCGAGACTAATCTCCAATCGAATGTGGTCCAGACGTCACGTTTCAGATGTTGAGTTTATTCGGCCGACTTACAGCAAGTCGATTCAAGAATCAAAACCCCAGTGAGTTGGCACATATAAGCAGTGAAATATATTCCGCCACTTCCTCCTCCCCTCGGATGACTAAAAGTCGCACCTCATAGATCCCGTTACTCTTGAAGAAAGCATCGCGGGTCAAGGCAGGGATGAGGCGCAAATTTATATAAACGGAAATGACTCGCCGAACTCCTTCGAAGGACTGGGGTGAGTTCGGATTCCGGTTAGGCTCGAGCAATTGTCGTTTCGTCATTGACCAGACATTGGAGCTCACATATGTATAGCGTTTACGAAACGGACGGCTGGATGGGAGATTGACATGTGCAAGAGCCCCACAGCATGCAAAATGAAGCTCAGTGTCGCCGTGGCTGGATAATATCATAGCACTTTGCTCTCGTGAATGTTACGAAGCACTCCGAAGACTGCCAGCGGCACACTTCCATTTGCGCAAGGAGCCTGTTGTTCTATTTTTTGCGCACTGGTGTATATAAACTTCCAAGCCTGAGACTGTCGATTGTCATTCCGCGTCCTCGCAGATTTTCGCAACCAGTTCGATCACTCCATCGCCTAAAATG